AAAAAAAAAAAAAAAAAAAAGAATTATAGACTATTGGACAAGAATAAAGGTCCTGGAATCTCAGAGAACGACTGAGATAAAAACTATCAAATGGGGAAAGTAAGTAATTAATTTAAGAATAAAGAACTAGAGACGTTTTCTGTTTACTTGCAAGAAATTTAAATTAAATGTTTTGAATGAGTAAAGCAACTGACAGAATAGAAATTATGAACATGGACCTAAATACAGATAGAGAAATATAAGCAAAAATGTTTTCTGCATATTGTGTACTACATATGACTGTGTCGTTCAATGCTCAACATGCCACGTGCGATTGTGTATGCACATGAAATTGAGCTTTAGAAAAATAAAAGGAGAATAAACATCCAGCATAAATATTGAACTCAAAATTTCACAAGCATCAAGATTTAAGTATGTGCTCATGCTTGAGGCTTAAGTATATCTTGATCTCACGGATAATATCTATAAAACAATGACTCTTTTGACAAGAATGTCCACATCAACGCAGCTCATGCACCGCCCATATGCTAGAAAAAAAAAAGATTGATGATTGATTCATTTTATCATGTTTTTCATGATTTTGCAGACATGTTAGAACATGATGAACACCCTTTAGCACATTAAAGAAAGTCGAGAAAATAAAAGGACTGTTACTGTGAGGGAATGACCTTAAAGCAAATAAAAGGAAAAGTATTCAAACATGCTTGCTGAATACCTTAGGTATGGAACAAAGGATTATCTGAAATGAAGACTTCAAAGAAATGGATTTCACAAGTTTCCGAAGGTTCCTTGGAATGCTTTAAAAATATTGTTTTTACTTACAATTAGCCACAAAACTGAATACTAGAATAAACAAATGTACGAGCCTCTCAATAATTAGAGTGCTCTTCACAAATCTAATCTTTTTGAAATTCTACCTCGTCCCTCATCAACTTAGATTCAAAGCCTTCTGCTAAATTCCTCTTTGGCCTAGGGATCTCTCAACCAGCCCTATGGCCCCTTTTTGTGGTTTATTTTGTTCATTCTTTCGCTCTAGATTTGTTTTTCTCTAATCCCAAAAAGAAAAAAAAAATAATAAAAGTAAAAAATAAAAAATGAGCCTCTCAATAATTAGATATATAAAATGATGAGATAATATGCAAGTCCGTCCCGTGTTTCATGTCCTTCATATGTGTGACTATGTTTGCACCTACCATTTACATAGAAAGATATCTATGTGGAAGATGATGAATTAAACTTCTAGATTCAATGAAATTGGGCACTGAATACACATCATGAAATGCTGCATCCTACAACTACAACACAGGAATTCTAGTGAACAGATGTTGCGGTTAAATACACGATTGCAGAACAAAGAAATGAGCAACAAACTTTCAGTTTAAAATAGATGATTGCAAAAGACAAAAGTAAATATCAAAGTTGCAGTCAACTATTGAATGATATTTCTCAACAAGCATCTGAGATATGTTGGCAATGTATTGACCTCGAAATGAAGGATTAACATCATTTATTTAAAGCAAACAAAAGAAAGAATACTGATACTAATACAACCAAATCTTTGTAGCTCAAAAATATCTTACCCCTGGAAAAAGCATCCCTATCAAGCGGCAAGCCTTATCAGAAACAGATAGCAGCAAAGTTTGGGATGGTAGCTGGATGACTGCACACTGGAACAGAACAAGAAGCGGCTCAACATAAGAAACCACTCAGGAAATAAAGTTTGAAGTGGGTTCAAAAATGAAATACAGATAACTAATCCAAAGTAACCAAAAATGCTGCAAGCAGACTAAACTTTGCATGTAGTACTAGAACCTGAAATCATGCTTGGTTGTACAATGTCACTATATATGCATAAAATGCTTAAAGAAATGTAGGAGTAGGACTGGTATTTGTTATTACTAGTTTCAGATACTGAGGAAGTTAATTCTCTTAGGAGCAGGTACTTAATAATTCGGAAATCTAACCCCAATTTTTTAGATGATCTTTGGATAGGTGAAGCTCCTCACTGTATCCTTTCCAAAGATCTATGCTTTGGTTATGCACAATACCTCTTGGTTTCGAACTCAAGGAAATCTAGCTCTGTTACATAGTACCTAAGCCTTGCAAGAAACCTTTTGGAAGATGAAATTTGAGAAAGGATCTCTCTAAGTTGACTACGCTCTTCATTCTTCATTCAAATATTTTCCAGATAGATGCCTTCGGTTGGTAGATAAATCAGGAGTTTCACCTACTATTCTCTTTTTATTGTCATGTTGAACAGAAGCAAGCAACCATATTCGTTTAGGCTAGCCTTACACTAACTGAACTTGCTACCAAAGCAGCCCGCAGCCAACTAATTTAACTAAAAAGGGGAGTAACTTACAAGCTTCTTTTCTTGAAGCTGGCCAAGAAATCCATGCTGATTCATAGCTCGGAAAACAAGAAAATCAGCTTTTCCAACATATTGCCTAAAATCAAATACAACAAAACTTGAGCTAGTTTTAATTAAGCAGACAGAAGAAAAGAGAAATTACTATTATCTCACTGAGCAACAAATTACTTGTTATTCATGTGATCCTGTGAGATAAGCCGAACTATTTGCATTGTCGGCGGCCAGTTTGCTGCAAGCCTATAAACATAAAAGATAGATAAATGGTTCCACTTCTACGAAAAAAAATTGAACTGATTCTCAAATTTTAAATGTGAAGTATGGAAAGTCAACAAAATCTCAAAAGGGAGGGAGGTAAAAGTATGCGGAAACGGATCATAATTTCTATACTCCGAATGAAATGATGTTCAATATTTAGAATGAAATGTGCTCAATATTTAGAGATGTTATTTGCATGACCAACAAAATTCAAGACTAAGCGAACAAAGAAATTCATGAGAACTCAAAAATGACTGACAGATTTCTTGGGTTCCTTCTTCAGTCTTTACCATAATCGAAGTAACAAGAATCTAAAGTTTTTGATGAGATTGCCCATCAATAATGGAAGCAAGAGTTCAAAGGGGAGAACTGTTGAGTAAAAAAGTACTGCGACTGCCATTGTACCCACACCCACCAGTAAAGAAACAAATCAACTACCAATCAAACATTATTGGCAACAAAAGAATAGAACAACAGAGTTTGGACCAAGGGCTACGTTAGAAGGGAAAATGCAGTATATTTCCAGTATTAATGAATCATTCATGAAAAGTCAACCTCCAATCCGCAGTGAACACATCTGTTAGCAGATAATGGCCGAAGATGCCCACAGACCACAACACAAATCCTTGCCAACCATCAGGGAAATAGATATGGGAGGCGCTACCACTTAGTTCTATGCTATAGAAAATGCTGTACTCCATAGAAACCTATTTTTGCAGTAACAGGTTTCTGCAGATGTGAACCATAACCAGGACACCCCAGTACGAAACCTCTTGCTTCCGTTTTCATATTTACATCCGTCATTGGCTCTGTGAAGCAGGTGTGTGATATTGGTGTGACTTAAGGATGATCCTACGACTTCAACTGCTGACGGGCTCTATTAAATAGGTGATTGCAGCAGTTACTGTCTCCTTTTAAGATACAGATAGAGCTAATAGCAACTGCCTTTTTGTGTTTCTTGTTGAAGGCAAGTTCAGCCTGTAGAAAGCATAATCACCTTGCTAAATAACAGTTAACAGAGCATCTTATCAGGTTGCCTGAAGTTCCCAAAATTATATACACCATTGGTATCCACAAATCATTTGATTTCCCACCGAAGAGCACCCAAGTAGTAAACACTGACTTTTCAGGTTAGTTCTTAGACCCGAAGCAAGCTTAAAAATCTTCAACCAGAAAATTATCTAGCCTAAGTATTTAAGAATTCCTGATTAAAAACTAGGAAAAATCTGTGTCAAGAAATATGTATATCAGCTAGTTCAGGACACCACAAAAGGGGTCAACTAAATAATTCTAATACTTCAAATTATTGAGTAAACTGGTCAATGCAAGTAGGTTTATTCTAATACCCTTCAACTCTATAAGATATATGGTATAATGATTCCTAATTTGCAAAATTTTATTAATTATCAACTAAAAAACAATTATATATCTAAACATTATCAAATATATGGCAGGAGAAGCAAAAATAAATAAATAAATAAATAAATAAAAACTCAGAACCATAGTCCACTTACTTCTCAGAAGCTGAAGCACTCCTGTAACCCTGACAGAAACAACTTAATCAGTTAAATATCAATGAATAACTTAGCATTGTGGATTTGTGGTAGGAGGAAAGGTAATTCTCTGATCACTAAAAAAGCTTCCAATGTATAATCCATTGATATAAGGAGACTGATAAAAAAACGGTATAACTAAAATAAAAGGTCGTGCTTTTTTCAACCAGAGGAAAAATTAAAAAAAAATGTAAGAAATTATACCAAGAAAATAAAATTTCATTTTTACTAAAATTATGTAGCGGATGATCATGAACATACTTCCATTCTGGTAATAAAAACAGGCTGGCCTTGTCTCTGCCCAGATAGATTTCCCTGCATTGCCATGCCCAAACAATGTTTGAGATAATTTTTCATTCCATAATTTCTACGACAAAGAATAATTTTATGCAACTATTAAACTTTTTTGTCATGCTTAGAACATAGAAGACAGAGCTTTTCAAATTTTTAATGGATACATTATCACAACTATCACGTAAACAAAACAGGCACAGTCACAACATACCTCCCAAAATTTCACATATTTGGATTGTGCTGGTTGCAAAGCCCCTGCTGAATGCTGTGATAATGGCATATTTGCTGCTGCATTGTTCACTCCAAGTGAATGCATCCCATTTTGAACTTGTTGAGGCATTCCTGGAGTAGGAATCATCGTACCATTTCCAGAAGAAACACCTGGTTGGGTTAAGTTGCTCATAACATTTTGGTTCATGCTAATTCCACTTTGTACCACTTGTGTTCCTGCAAGATTTCCTTGGCTAATCCCAGGAACTGATTGACTCACACTAGGACCACCTTGGATATTTCCTGCCGCTTGTGAAGTGGAAACATTAGAATTTCCAGAAATGTTATTTGCTGAAGTAAGTGAGCTTAGACCTGAGTTCGGTGCAACCTGAGTGAGAGTTGTAGAACCATTTATTGATGTCATACCAGATTGACTGGATGAAAATACATTTTGTGCAGCAGGCACAGATGATCCCATTCCACTGGATATCATATTGGATACATGCATGGCCATTGGGGTTTGACCCATAGACGTAAGTCCAATGGAATTTCCTCCATTTAAAGTAGCAGAGCTCATCACCCGTGCTTGAGAAATATTATTCAGAATGCTAACATTCGCAGGACCCACAGGTCGTAGAGTCTGTGGAACGCCATTCACTAGAGGTTTAAGATCTTGTGTGCTCTCGTTATTTGTGATCATCTCCTGAGAAGAAAGTGGTGAAGAGGTCTGCAAGCTAGGGACTCCCTGTGAAGCTGCACGAACAACAGACGGCATATGTGGTGGATATGCAGATCCATTTGTCATAGATGTAACAGTATTTGGTTCCTGATAAAAATTATAGTCCAGCATGATTCAGGCTGTAAGGCTATCATAAAAGCCAAATTTCTACCATAGAAATTAAGAATAAAAAAAAATGAGTCTTACAACTTTCACAGTAGCAGGAGGCACATTAGCAACAGAAACTGGCTGCCGGTTAATGACAGGTCCATTTACTGGGATAGACAAAAAAAGAAACGCAAGTGTCAAATACTTCTTGCAAATGTCCATGTGAACTTTTTAATTAACCAGAGATTTCCAAACTCAACATGAGTTGGAAATATGAACACATTTCCAAACGTTTCTATTGAGAAGAATTATAAAACCAAAGAAGCAGTACAAAAATTCAATAACACCAAACACAGGGCTACCGAAATATGAACTTACACAAAAGAGCTCTGACTTCAACCATCAGTGTGAATATTCTTTAATTTCCTATTTAGATAAAGCCCAACTATAATCCTTTTCACTCTCTTGCAGAATTTGTATCTTTAAGCACTAGTCTTTTCATTTATTCAATCAAAGTTTGGGCTCCAGCCGTAAGAATCTAAATCTACCTAGTTCAAATTATGCTTCAAATACCAGATCTAAATGCCAATTAGTATACTTCAGACTTGCAAGTCACATGGCATGACCATATCCCTGTCATGAAGATCAGTCAGACTAGCAAGACATCTTAAATCAACTGTTCAGGAATATCATATTTCTTTCCAAAGCTAATGCATCTAATGATCAGGATCTGACAAAGATAAGCTAATAGTGGGGACCTGATGGAGTAGTGGTTGGAGGTGGTCCAGTAACAGGCACAACAGGAGATATGTCCATTTTCACAGGACTCTGGTTTGCAGGCAAACTAGTAATTCCAGGACGATTTAAAGCTGCACGGGCTTCCACAAAATTTTCAGAGATCAAGACAAGGTATGAGGGGGTTTTAACATTATCAATAGGTGGATCTGCTGACCGGAGGTTCCGTTTTCCCTTCATTAAAAGGTGGAGCAGTCAGTCACATATATTTACAAATGAGGCTATTAATATTTATAAATAATACCAACTATAATGCCACAATATAAGCTGCTGAAAATTTCACTGAGATTACTCAAAATTAGAAATCCAGAAAATATGAGGGATTAAAAATTGAACTGGCAATGATAGCATGTCGGAGTAACTCCAGATTTCACCATTAAAAAATTAATAGAAGAAATTCGGAATGACTTGGTTGAGGAAATAAGTATCTAAATGGTAGATTCATAGAAGTTGCAAGGACTTCTGTTTTATGTACACGAGTGAGGGGGAGGGAGCTCGAGTAAACATTCGTACTTACAGCAGTGTAAATTGCTCTTAGTTTTGGAAGCTGTTTGGGGCAAATAACTGACAGAGATATGAAGCACTGCATGGAAAGATGGTCTAGTTGCCTTATTATCTGCAACACTTACGGGGAAGAAAAATATTTTTTTTGTCATCTTGAAAAAATTAAGCTACGTAATGTTAACCTGAGGAAATGATTTAGCAACTGTCTCAGCATATGATTGGGAACTCCCTGGTTCAACATTGTCATGTTGCTCCAAGTTTTGCACTGCTGGTCTATATACTGGCGTTGGCAGGGGATAAGGATTACTTGCAGCAACAAGAATACAGTGCTTCTGCATATCCATAGTTTGTTGATTTTGGCCACCATTTTGTTGAGTTGGGAACATCTAGATAGATAGAAATAATTAGGCAAGAGAAATCATAAGGGATATAAAGTCATGCTATATTTCTTTCATGAGAACAAAAAATTGTGATAGCAAAAGAACATTACAACAGGAAAAAAAAAAAAAAAATCTTAATTGATACCTAGTTTTGCATCATCCCGTTTTTTTTTTTTTTATAAAAAAAATTATTCATAATAAACAAAACTATTCCATTAAAAACATAAAATTAGCCAAGCCTATGCAAATGGATCTCAAAAATATTTAACCCATCCCAAGCTCATTAAAGTTCATTGTATAAGCCTTCAACTGAAGGCCAAGGAACTTCAAATCAAACATAGTTAAAAACAAGACATGTGAATATAAAATTATATTTTAGTGTTGATTATAACAAAAGAAAGCTTCCACTTTTAGTCATAGCGAGAGAAACTTACCATAGTTATGTCATCAAACTCCTCGAACAAAAACTCAAGAATTTGGAGCTTCTAAAGCTCTTGATAATTGGCCTTTCCTTATATTTCAGAAGTTAAATTATTTTGCTTGTCAGAAGAACTCCATATCATTCCTGTGTCCTAAAATACTTTTATTGCATAATTATAATATGAAGAACTATATTTGTAGCATGGTAAGACGAGAGCAAAAGGTCAAGCCATCTGGAACATCATCAGTAATCTAGAAAGAAGATGGGGATCCTCTAGCCTCAAATATAGAAATATTTATTCAAGAGAAGACGAGCAGTTGAGAGATGAAAATGAACCATACAACTATCGTTAAGAAATGATGAGATAAAGCACCATAACAATAGTTAAGAAGAACGAGATCAGAGGGCAAGAATATGCATACCATAAGTGCTTCAGCAAGCCCTTCAGCTATTGCAGCGTCACTGAAACCCCCACCAGAAAAAGGAATAGCTGAAAGCCATTGTATGAAAATATCAACATCTCTTGTCCACCCAGTTCGCTGTACTAGACATCCTGAAAAAAGAGAAGTTGAAATAAAAAAGAATGGGCACATTCAACATCATGTAACACGCTAAATTTCCAATAAAACTAACATGATGCCACATCACACTTTGTCTACTGGATGTGACTAATTTCACTCTTGAAACAATATACAAATGCATACATATATATCCTGAAAATCTTGGAAACTAAAATCCTGTACATCTTCATGTCAGGAGTTTGGAAGAGAATTAGTGTTAGAAATCATTCTCCAATTGAACTCTACTTATGCTAATACATTAGCTTATGTGTAAAGGTCAAGAGAAACTTGGAACTTTGGGAGTATATGAGACCCACATGACAAGTGGAGGACTTAGTCCAGAAAGTTGTCCATATAGAACATTGGACAAGATAATATCATGGCCAAATTCTATCAGTAAACATTTCGTGGTCACAATTAACTAGACTATTGAATGACACTAACAAACACAATGTTCTGGTGCAGGAAAATAAATGCTCAACATCAGAGCATAAACATAATGAACCAGGAAAAATAAGCTCCTTACGAACCACAATACGATCCATGAGTATGAAACATGACCAGAGAGAACTCGACATTAGAGGTTGGTGGTTTCTGCATTCCAGAAGTAAAATATATCATTACATGGTCAGGTAGAATGAAAGATGTGATTACAAAGTTTACACACTAGAACATTCACAAGAGCATCCTCTGTTTAGAACCAAGCATAAGAAATTATTATTAAATAATGTGATTTTAAGAGCTAGAAATGATTTCATATTTTTAATTGCATTTGGGATGAGAAAGATTTGAAATGGATGTGATCAGTCTTGATGTTGCCTAGAAATGAAAAGAAAATAAATATTTTAATTATACTTTTAATCAATGAAACTTAAAATTCGATAAGATTTGTTAACTTTGAAAATAGAAATGGCTAGATTAGTAACCTTAAAAATTCATAAGGCTAGATTAGTAACCTTCGGAATTGAATTAACTATCTCTTAAAAGTTGAAAGAGCTAGATTTGTGTGGAAAACTGTTCGAAAATATTTTTTAATCTGTTTTCAAAACTGTTTTTGAACGTTAGGAATACTGACTCGTAAAAGCTCATATTACTGAGCATCTAGGAATCACTATTCACGAGGACATGATTTGGAAAGGAAAGTACCACCACATTCTTTTTCTCTAAAAAATAGGCCATTAACAAGAACACTCTAAAAGAAAACAAGCGAAGGGGGAAAAAAAAAACTTTTATACCCCAATTATCCAAATGCATTTTTACAGAGCCGTATAAACAGAAAACTAAAATCCTTTACCCACATTTTCACCAACTAAACATAATATTATCAGATTATCACACGTCTCAATAGAAACATCAGCTTCTAACTATAAATCCTACAAAAGATAAAGGCCTCAATTTTGAAGTCTTCAAAAAAGAAAGAAAAACCAAGCGTTTCATCCAGTATCAACATGGAAGTACCATGTATCAATCTAAATTGATGGACCATATATCAATTCCCGCATCCTACAACAGTATCCTCTGTTATGAAGATGAATTGACAGCTTAATTCTTATAGGGATATTCTCTAAATTTCAAAATCTGAAAGAACTATTGCATACATGAAATGTTAGGGATAAACTATATTTGTCTTCTGAAAAAAGAAAGAGACATACCTGCCCGGTTGTTTCATTTCCACTGAAACATCTGCATAAGTAGAAAGTTAGCTTTTATCATATCCTTGTTACCATCAAAGAGATTACCCATGAACTATTTCTAACATCAAAAGGCAACAACAAAAATAAAAGGTGTAAACATTAATGAATTTTCACATGAAACTGTAAAGACAAAATCTTCATCGCCGTTTTGGATCAATGGTAGGTGTCAGATGATTCATATTCTATAACATCCACGGGCTTTCTTTCAATGAAAGCCTCGTTTGCATTCATAAAACTTGCAAACCCTTGAGTTGAAATACAGGAATTATTTTACAATGTGAATTATGTGCTCTATTTTACATTTATTTGTTATCAGCTACGTTGTGGCTAAGGACACTCCTAAAAATACATAACAAAAGAGGTGGAGATCTTCGTAGCCTACTGAATCAAGTCAATATCAACAAAAATGATAGAATTTAAGCCCATCCAAATCAGGAACATGGTAACAAATCGTGAGTTCTACAGAAATAAATAGGCGACTCGAGAATCAACTGTCAAAAAGGAATCGTGGGTATAATATGGTTCAGGTTAAAAATGGAGAGTCAGGCAGGTACTTAATGTGGACTCCAAGTGTGAATTCCGAATTGGGGAAAAATCAACAAAACTGATTGTGATCGTTCACATGATAGCCCGTTGGCTATCACAATTAGAACCTAATGACGAGTCAAGAAACAGATAAAGCTTTGTAGGCATTTCCAGAAAGTCCTAAAACACAAACAATAACATACGAAACCGCGTAGTTACGCAATTAGAAGAACAGACAGGAAGGAGAGGGGAGAAGGGATGGATAATAGGAGTACCTGACGATCTTTTCGATGTAATCGGACACGACAGTTTGCCAGAAGGGACCCATGGCCGCGGTACCTTCAACGACCACTATCAACTGCTTCTCTGCCATGGAATAACTCCGAGAGAAGTCGGCAGTTGGGATTTTGAGGTTTATCGATTGTAATTCCCGGTTTCGTGACCAATTCCGGGAACCTGAGAAAGCGTGCGCAAATGGTAAAATTGGAAGCAGAACTAAAATTCATCAACGGGTTTTCTTAGCCAAGGCTACAACCCCGTATTAAAGGTGTCATCTTTTTTTCCCTTTTTTTTTTCTTTTCTCTTCTTCTTTTGTTTCTCAATTTCAGTTAACTCTATTTTTTCTATTCTCTTTTATTATTATTATTATTAAAGTCAGTTAATTTACCTGTTTTATCAGAGATAATAAAATAATAATTTTGGTAATAATTTTTTTTTTTTTCATATTTTTTCTAATTTTTTAATTTAATTATTGAACTCGCTATCGTAAAACTTCCAACTTTGTTACGAGAAAATTGTAATAAAAAAAATATTGAAATCATAAATAATTCGTTTTATTAGTTAATGCGTTTATGGGGGCAATCTTAGTGATATCTAAATAACAAAAAACAATAAGGCAAATAATAAGTACACCATTAAATTGCCTCCCAAGAAATTAGGGGATATATTATGAAAAAATATATTTTTATTTATTTATTTTCTAAAATATAGAAAATTATGCTGATTAACTTACTTGTTAGATATATATGTAAACCACCGAACTGAATGAAAATTTGTTCTAGATTCTTCTCATTTGGTACTTATTTGTGTTTAAACTAGTAATAAATATAATATGAAACATGTGTGTAAATTTAGTTTAATGGTTGGGCCCATGGGCTATGGGCTATTTTCTGTTAAGCCCATAATATTGAAAACATAGTCCAAAGCGAAGTGTGTGAACATGTGATGTTGTAGATGTCGAAACCCAGCCAACATGTGAATGTGTCAATATTCCATGATAATTCAGCCCAGACATCTGCTGGTTGCTGGTGGGTGGCAAGGCTCAGATTCAGATTCAGATTCAGATTCAGATTCAGTCCTTGTCTTGTTATTTCACAAGGAAAGTGCAGAATAATTTATGTATTGCCAATGAAAAGTCTACTTGTCCTGCTCCTATGTCCTTCAGATTACACCCAATTCATGATATTCATACCAAACCAAACAATGGTTTGGAAATGAACTTGGACGACATAATGGGCATTAGAGAAGACCAACCCAACCAAATCTAGTTTTTATCATCTCATTCAAACTCTTCCAAACTGGTACACATAAACAAAAACAATGTGGGTTTCTTAATTGTTTTTAATTAATGCTAATCTAAGGAAAGGTCAATGTAGTTGGACGTGATTATGAACGCTATTAACTCTCTTCATCCAAGCAACCATGTGTTTTAGCTTTTGGAAGATTAAAATATTATTGTTATACATTGCATTATCTTTATGCCGTGTATAAATTAAAATAAATAAGAAATACAATAACTTCTACCTATTTCCTATTTTTCTATTCATAAATTATAACCGTTAAATTTGTGTTTTATAATTAAAATAAATAAATATATGCATTTCTAGAAAAAACTAAAATAGAAAATAAAATGAGTGTGAAATGAAACCAAATATTGCAATTAATTTAAAGGCTTATATTGCAAAAGACTTTATTTAAGTCACCGACTTTAATGATTTTGATTAACTACTAATGATGCCTAAACATATATTTATTGTATAGCTACCTCAAAATAACAATAAATAAATTAATTAATAGAAACCAAACCAAACCAAACCAAATTTGAATGATAAGATTTGTTTCACTTTAATTCATAGTCCAACATTTTTGGTCAAACATATCATATTATAATGTCTTTTTGTAAGATAATGTCTTAGTCAATGGTTTCATGACAGATGGAATGATGTTCAAAATTGTCAACACCTTGAACTCTTCTTCTTCTTTTACACCTTTACAGGTACAAATGCACAATTTGAAGAACCTCTTTTTTCTTTTTTTTTTTCTTTTTATTTCGTTTTTTATTTCTTAATATCTAAAACAAGTCAAACTAATTAAAATTTCACCTTTGTAAACGTAAAAATATATTCTTATTACATAGTGATAAATTTATATTTAAATGTTAAATTAGATCTTATGATCGAGAATTCAATAATAAAAAATGAAAAGTAATATATTTTTATAATATCTTTGGAAGTTAGGCCACCATTCAAGATATAAGAAAGGAATATTCCTTAGAATTTTTTTCCAAATGCAAAAATGATCATGCACATAACTCACAAGAAGAAACAGCATGCAACGCTGTCGTTTTGTGCATGTATTGATTCCAAGTTCTTTTAAATAGTCTCTCTAAATTTTCATTAAAAAAAAAAGATATATATATATATATATATATATATATATATAAGGTTTTTGCAAGGCTCCTCAAAAGTCGCTTGGCCTTTTATGACCTCAAGGGTCACTATCTATCCTCGAACTTATCCATATCAGGGGCAACGATCATCTGCGCGTGCGTATTTATTTTAAATCATGGTCGTGAAATGGAGACCGTTGGATGAAGAATCTAAGGAAAATGTAGAAGGAAGGGGGCCCAAGGATATTATTAAAATAGATCTGAGTGTGGGGAATCTTGACGATGCAAGATTCTTGAGGGGGTGTTGTGGGCCAGGTCAGAATTAAAAAAGATAACGTAATAAATTGGAGAGGGAGAGAGAATATTCTAAATAGTATAAATTAATTACCAAAAAAGGATATTATGAACCATTGCGGAATATTCGGATCCAGGCGCTATCAGATCGTTAACGGAACCACTAAAGATGGTGGGTTGGAAATTTAATTAATTTGATATTATTATTTTAAAAAGAGTGTTATTATAATTATTATTATAAAATTTTAGGATTTTGGAGCATTGATTTTGGGACCAATTTTGTGTTCGGACATTTTTCTGAACCCACCACATTCAAACCTTTTCTTAACTTTATACTTGTCAATTTTATATAATTTTAGAAGTTTAAATTACAACATTTATAAATTTCTAAAAGTTTCAATTTTCTACTTAATATATTTATTTTTAAAATTTAATTAGACACGAATTTAAATGATTGAACTTCACATAAAAAAAGAATTTTTAAATGGATATCAAAATAATTAATGAGAAAAATAAAAGAATGGTTTCACTTTGGGATTTTTTAATCAATCGACCAACCCATTCTAATTTAAAAAATGAATTTCATATTAAGTATAGTTTCAATTAAATGAGAAAACGGATCATGATACAAACCTTTCCATGGATGTCTAAACTATTGTATTTCTAACAATAATGGCGACACATGATAACATAATTGGTAATTAAGAATGTAATTATGTTATAGCTATAGACCCAGCCATAATTTAATTTAATTTAATTATAATTTAGCAACAGATCTCTAACACATTTGATAATGTGTATATATATATATATCTTTGATGTTATAGTGACATGGTTGTCTATTTACGCGCTCTTATTATCTTTATAAATATTTTTTTAGAAATAGTTTAATTTGATTTTTTTCCTTGACTTAGGTTTATAGATTAAAAAAGAAAAAGTTGAATATGGGGGCCAAAAAGTCAAAGGAGTAATTGGTAATAATATTGTTTATTTGAAAAACTTGGTCGTGAATATTTTGAAAAAATGCGTATTACCAAAGAAAGTGATACGAACCAAAAGTTGGTGGGTAAAAAATATGAAATGAAAAGGTCACCAAATGGCTTCTCCTAGGTTTTCAAAATGCATTTTTTAAAATATTTTTTTCCCAAAATCAATTTCTCCAGTGTTTTTATACCTAATTTTACCTTCTATAAATATCAATAATATTAGAATGAGTATCTTCAAATTTATATTTAAAAAACGATGGTGAGTCATGACCCAGTGGTCATTGATGGTAATGCAGCAACGATTTGTGCTCGGCAACAACCCGTGCTAGTTGCTAAGGATTGGTGGCAAGAGGCAACGTGTAACCGTCCAAACCCACCATTAGTGGATATTATATGTTTTTGTATGTTATCTATCATCATTAATAATATGGGGTCTCACCGTTCTTGTTGGCACACCACTCGTATTTGATTTTGATCCAATGCTTGAAAATAGTGACTACAATTATTTTAATTGCATAGAAAAGTAAAGTCGGGTTGAAAATACTTTAGTAGTTATGGGCGTATTTTGTTTTAAGGTTCTTCTCCTATAGAAGAAGACAAGATTTAGCAAAGAAAGGGATATGTTTTGGCCTTTGTGTTCTCTTTTAGGGAGGTGGGTTTAGTGGGATGTTAATTTTGTAGGAGAAGAAGTAAGTACTAAGTTGGAAACCTTATCTTAAAAGAAAAGATAAGGTCCAAAATTCTGACTTTTTAACTAACCACTTTCCTTCACATTCAACCTCCATTTATACTCATCTTTTGGCCCTTCAACCATTCTTCAAAATCAAACCCAATCCGCCACATGTCATAACTGCATTTTGTGACATCGAGATAGTAATTATGTGGCAAATGTTACAATTCAGCGAACAAATCAGTTGTCTGAAATTCGAACTTTGCAGATAATATCGGCGTATGTTCGAACCTCAAGTCACATTTGAGAGATATGTTTTAGAAAACGTGAGCCAAAAAATACATTGATAACCATTTTAGAGAAAATAATGTTATAAGCAGAAAACAACAAGTAGACAACAATAACGATTTTGATAACGTTTAATCTGCGTAGGAAGAGTTAACAACGAACTAGTCGCATCTCTCCATAGTACATTTTAGAACATTTTAGCAATAGCAGACATTAGTTTGGCGATCGGTATTTACACAACATGAAATGATAAAGATTTATCTAACATGAAAGCAGGTAAAATGGGATTTGGAATGATGGACAAGATGTCCTAGACAAGCACGACCGAGACATCCAACATCTAAAGATAAGACCGCGAGGGATTTCTGTTTTTGGCTTATTTTGTCGGAATTTTGTTGTGATAAATGATAATTACGTAATTGAAGCAATAATTTTTATGGATCGCAGGATAAAGGAAATCCAAGAATGGGGAAGAAACTTCACGTGAAAATGTTGATGTATACCACATGCTTTATCAATACTTGCAAAACTTTTACACCTCTCTCCAACATTCAACAAAAATGTCAAAAAACTACAATCTACGCCGCCGACGGCGAGGTTGTGGTGGTGTGAGTCGAGGAAGACGTCACCGGCGAATTTGATTGAACAACTCCGCCGCTCTGCCTCCCCTTCCCTTCCTCTGCCGTCATCTGCCGTCGCACCGCCGTTGCCACCGGAGCATAAATCCCATTTCTCGATTTCGCTGTTGTCGCTACCGTGTACTTCGGTGGAGGCGGCGGCACCCATAAGCTTCCGACTACCACGAATTGCTGCGGCGATGAGGAGCTGCCGCAGTCTTGCATTGCAGAATTTGTTGGCCTTCTTGCGTGCAATCGGTATTTCTGAGATTAAATTAACAACAGAACAATCAAACTTCCCATATAAATTACGATATATATATTTTTAAATTGCTATAAATAAATTAATTGCGATATGAACCTGTAAATGGCTTTTAACTTCATCGTTGGTGAGCCCATCAACCTTCATTAACTCTCTGATTTGTTTCGGCGTAGCAACTGTAATTAAAAACACGTAAGAACAAATCCCTTCACAAATTAAAAAGATAAAAAGAAACACGAATTTGTTTGTACCATGAGGGCCGCCAAGCTGTTGAAGTGCGTGAACGAATCGCCGGTGTAACTCCGACGACCAGCACCGCCTTTGTTTTCTCCGTGTCTGAGATTCCTTTTCCTCTCGTTTACTGGTCTCCGCCGTGGAACTCGTCGTCGCCTCACGAATCGGAGAAGAGCCGACTGTTTTAGCGACGTCCACCGCCGCCTCTAGTTTTAATGGAGTGGTTTTCCCCTTCTGAAACGGCTGAAAAGCACCGCCACCGCCACCGCCATTGTTCTTTACCTCAACAGCCGACGACGCCGTTTCCTTAACAACATCCTGCAAAAAGGGAACAAATTTGACAAAAGTTTCCCAGAAAGTTCTCGTTCGTTCTCTGTTTTTCGAAACAGAGTAATGATGATGAAATTGTACCTCTGTAATGGGAGATTCCGGTGATTGATTCCAAAGCTGAGCCGTTTTAAGCCAATCCGATCGACCCACTTCGTTTTTCTCTGGTTGTAATAGCTCATCTTCTCCATTCTCAAAATGGGAATTAACAGACGCTCTGTTAATCGGGATGAACTCCTCCAAAACAGGGCCATCGCTGGAAGTATGTTCAGAGCTCTCTGTTGACACCCCAGATAACTGCTGCCGGCAAGAATCAATAGCTGCAAAAAAGGGGGAAACAAATCGTACCCAAAATTAAACAAAACAAGCAACAGAAAAAGAGCAGAGTAATTGGAAGATAAAATTACCTCTTGTGACAAGCTCCAAACAAAGGGGAAGTTCGCGCTGGAAGACCTGAATTTTGCGACGTTCTTGATCCAGAGCATCAGCATAGTGCCTCAAATCCATTCCGACTCGAATATCCAGAAAATTATCAACGAAACCCATGGCAGAAAACGAAAGAAACCCAGATTGATTTGGAACTGAAAGGGGGGGTTGGTTTATTTAAGGAAGGAGTAGGTGGGGTGATCGAAAATGGAACATAGAAAAATCCGAAGGGAGCAATGAGAAAGAACTGGAAAGCGGAATAATGGAATCTATAGAATCAAGAAAAGGAATAAACTTGGGGAAAACAATAGAGAAATAAAGAAGAGGAAGAGAATGAATAATGGGGTTAATAAAATCCCAAAATTCAGAAACTCAAGATAATGGAGTTTCTGGAGAGAGAATCGATGGAGGATTCTAGAGAGAGAGAGAGAGAGACGAAGAGAGGGATTGGTCGAAGTCGTGGCGTCGCATATAACATCGAATCTTTCCGATTGGAGGTTTAGGGTTCGGGTCTTGTAGATTCGTGGAATTTTATTCTTGTTTTTTTCCATATCTATCTGTGGGCTGTTAATGACGTCATCACCCCCCCCCCCCCCCCCCCCCCC